CAAATATCCACCGCAAATTCATAACGTATTTGAATTCAAGGTGTCTATATTTATTCGATTAAAAAAACTTTCTAAACCCTAAAATCGATTTAGGAGAGAAGAATCAGAGCTATCAAGCTCAAGTCTCGAATCTTAACTTCAAATTCATAACGTATATGAATTCAAGGTGCTTATATTTATTCGATTAATTTTTTTTTTATAATCCTTAAAATCGATTTTAGAGAGAAGAATCGAGACTTGAGTACAACTCCGAATTGAGAGATAAGGTTTATGCTTTTTTATTTCCTTTCATATTGTTTTACTTAAATTTGTATTTTTATAAAGAGATAGTCGTTTTTATATTATTATTTTTTTTCATTTCAAAACAGACATCCGTGCAACGCACGAGTAAAGTACTAGTAATATAGAAACTACGATGCTTACCTCATATCACAGATGTCCGATGGTTGATTTTGAATTATGATGTAATAGCTGAAGGTCCATGTCACGTGTTCCCACTCAGGGTAAAAAATATTTTCGTTTCAATTGTCAACTTCTCACCACAATATTAATTTGGGCCTAACACTAACTTTAAATAAGAAGATAACAAAAAGGGCCATAAGCCAATTACAATTGCTTTTGAGAGCGTGGCTAACGTAAACACATGCGGCTCAACAGTTAAAATTATACGTTAAAAGTCAATCAACTATATAACTAATGGCCCAAATAGGTCTCATTTTTTATTATTATTATTATTATTATTATTATTATTATTATTATTATTATTATTATTATTATTATTATTATTATTATTATTATTATTATTATTATTATTATTATTATTATTATTATTATTATTATTATTATTATTATTATTATTATTATTATTATTATTATTATTATTATTATTATTATTATTATTATTATTATTATTATTATTATTATAAGATAAATAAAAATACATATTAACTAATTATTTTATTTTATTTTTAATTAAAATAAAAATTACAATTTATTTATTTTTATCGTTTTAATTTTCAAAGAAAATCCTTACTTCAAAACTAAAAGTACATTACTATTTATTTATTTATATTGTGTAGTATGCATTTTAATTTAAAATCTAATTACATCCTAAATGAGATGTTCGATATTATTTTTAAAATATATATTAATTGCATTATTTAAAAAAGGACAAATGGCAAAGAAGCCCATCACATGGGACTTAAATGCATTTTGGTCCACAAATAAAACAGTCTCTCAATTAAACTCATCCCCATGTCTTTAGTCTAAAATACCCTCAATAATATAATTCTTATCAATTCCACCCATTATGGTCTAACTTCCTTAATATTACACATTTACCCCGAATTTAAATAAATATATCACATTAACCCCCAAAACTTTTTTTTTTCAGAAAATAATTTTTTTTCTGAAATGTTTTTTTTCCAGCCAGATTCTGGCGTTGACCGCCGGTCTCCGGCGTTGACTTTTTTTTTTTCCTGAAATTTTTTTCCGGCCGGTCAACCACCGTTGACCGCCGGTCTCCGGCGTTGACTTTTTTTTTTTTTTTTCTTAGAAAAAAAATATTTTAATTAATATTATTGTCTTGGCTACTAAATTACTGTCTCAATATATATAAAAAATCGACCACAGGCTTCCATGATGAACTATTGGGGCAAAAAAATTCCATTTCAAGTGATTCTTGAAGTTGCACCTTCAACTAATTCAATTATGTCCAAACCTATATAAACAATAATAATAGCATCTATCCAAAATAAGATCAATATAAAATGCAACTTTACATTGAAAGTTTTGTCACACTCTATAAATGAAAATACTTTACGAGAAACTACATTCATCACTGTTGGGGGTAGAATTGGCATAGTGCGCTAAATGACATGGGCCGAGCTGGATCATCGGAAGGATGAGACCCAATTCAAAATCCCACCTTGACCAAGCAACCTTAGATACGATTTCAAAAGGACTATTTTCGCATCAAGAAAATCCTATACCTTGAGAAACACGCTTTCAATCCAGGAAGGAAGGAGAATCCTTTGAATTGATCTCATGTACATCTCAGATCCACCACCGGCCCAGCTAGGTCACTAAGTCCTAGATACGGTTTATCTATGGATCATAACCGAAATCCAAAGGATCCCTAGACTGGTGGAAGACGTTTGATACAAAAAGTAATATCAATCCCACTCTATGTGGACTCAAAAACCCTAGGCCTAAAAATATGATATAAAAGGTTCCATCAGATCCAGTCAGCATATACGAATAACACAAACATATATGTTTTCTCTCGATAATTATTTTCCAAACCCTAATTATGATGGAGTATATTCCTTGAAGATCTTCTTTGATCGTCACAAGAGATAGTTGTTGACGAAAACTTGACCGCGTATAAATTTGCGCAATTAATCACCTATAACATGAACGAGAAGATTCATACTCCTCTAAGCACACAACCCATATTAAATTAAACAATCACCTCGATCACCAAAATAGAATAATCTCTTTATGTTGTAGAGACTACGATTACTACATTCTTTTACAATAATAAAAACTAGCAATAAGTGATCATGTTTGATCAATATCCCTCTCAGGGATGACATCAACAAGTGATCATGTTAGATCAATATCCATGTCATATGATACCTAGGGATAAGTTAATCTTTATTCCAAAAGCTCTATTAACATTTCTCAAGGTTATTCCACCACTAACACAAATGTTTATATTATAAGAGGAACGTGTAAACCCAAGACTAAATTGAATACATACATAAAATATGAATGATTAAATTATCCAATATCTATAAGGAGTACAAATACGCGAGAACTACATTAGAATCCTCATTTTAAATTTCATTTTTAACCTCAATTTCAATTATACATGGGACGAAATCAGTGTTCCGCAACTCATACCTCGACATACCTCTAGCAGACATCCTTTTATTTCAAATTCATTGCATAAATAAGTAATCCACCTATCAATTATTTTTTTAGGAGAAATATTGTAAGGACATATAACATAACAATTTGTAAATTCATAAGATAGTAAGTCCACAATTGTTTTATATAAATGACACCGAATCTGGACAATCCGTTTGACATCGAATATGGACAAGGGATTCATAGGGTCATTAACTTGGTAGTTCAAGAAACTTTCATTAATGCCGTTCGTGAATGACTCTTAATTTTCATTCTTTGATTGACTTATAAATACTTCCTCCCTCATTGTATTGAACAATTGAATTTTGGAGTTGAAAATAATTTATATAAATAAAAGCTTATACACTTTCTTCTCTTATCTCTTTGGTGGATTTCCATTGAGTGGCGAGTTGATTTCCTTTGAGAGTTTCACTTGTGTTTTCCCCTTTCATTCACCATTAGTTCGGTGTCAATAAATCTCATGCAAAATAAATCATTTATGTTGGGAGATAATGTATATTTGAACAAGTTATAAAATTTTAAAAAAGCAAATAAAAAAAATTTGGGAAAAGGTATATCTATACCAGTGTCTCTTGTCACAAAAACAATTTTGCAATATGTGTTTCTCATTCGTCTATAATTAGTCGTGAATCCAGGTATTTTCACAAGGGTGTTCGAAATTGTGTACATTAAAAAATATGAATAATTTATTTAATAAAAATGGCGAACTAAAAATTTACGGGCCCCCACTTTTTTTTAATAGTATACACATAGAACAATAAAAATATGCAACAACTTCAAATATAAAAAGATCATTTGCAAATTTAAGGATAATTTAGGAAATATTTGGACATAAAATTTGTGAAATGATTAAAAAATGGTATAAAATAAAATTGCATGTAGCGGAATGCGTATCTACAAGCGAACTTGTAAATTATCAAATCTCATTTTGTATAATACATATATAAAATGCAAAATGAAAATATTTAAAAATATATTTTAAATGTAGTAATATAAATATATATAAAAATAACAAGACACTTATATAGCTGGGTGTCCAACCCTGGTCCTCTCTATAAATTTAGAGTTAATTAGTGAGACCCACTCAAAAAACATTTACCTAGAGTATGGGTCCAATCTTTTTTTGCCATTTAGCAACACCACCCTTGTTTGAATTTTATAATTATCTTAAATTATAATACTATTGATATTCCTATACTGGCCTTATAAGACATATATTTTCCACAAACAACCCTACCCCAAAACATACGTCGTCATTTGCAGCCTTTTCTCTATCTTCTATGTTCTTTCTCTCTCTTTCTCTCGCTCTCTCTATACTTCTCTCTTCCCCCTATCTTCTACGACGAGAGACACGGCATCGGCGATGCGACGGTTGTTCCTGCTAGGGTAGACCACGCTTGTTACTAGGGCTTGTCATCGGTCGCGCGAGGTGCAAGATGGCAACGGTGCGAGCGACATCGATGATGTGACGACGGTTCGTTTTATGGTAGATGGTGGAATTTTGCTAGTGTTTGGCGGCGGCGGTTAGTTCTATGGAAGATGGTGGATTTTTGCTGGTGTTTGGCGGCAGCGGTTCGTTTTATGATAGATGGTGGAATTTTTCTATAAGTCTTTCCGGCAGCTCTTTCAAGAGTAATGAACGGAGATCCTTCTCCTAGGGTTTAGTCGCGTGTGGTACAACATGGCTAATTTTTAGTTGGTTTTCGATAATTTGTAGTTGGTTTCGATGATTTTGTAGTTGATTTCAGTGATTTTTGTAGTTTGTACTTTGTAGTTGTCTACGATGTTGTAAATCTGTCAGGGAAAAAAATACGAATTTATTAAAACTGAATTTATTAAAAAATAATTTATGATAAATTAATTTATTAAAAATTACTTTATTAAAAATTAATTTATTAAAAATTAAATTATTAAAAATTAATTTATTAAAAATTAAATTATTAAAAATTAATTTATTAAAAAATAGTTTTTTTAAAAAGAAAAAAACAAAAAAGGTAGAAAATAGAACAATATGTAGATAGTGGGTAATAGGGTGGAGAATGGGAATAATGCCATCCCCAGGGTACCATCTAAAATGGATTGCTGCAATAATAATAATCCAGCAATAGACTTGATCATTGCTTCGCATTGCTCTCTGTGCCGTTCTATCAATTTGTATTCCCGCGAGCTGGAGAGCTGTTTCCAGTTTTCTTGCTCGAGAGCATCCCACAGGTCATCCTGAGCGATTGTATCCGAAACAACAAGCGGATTAGCATCTATGGGAATAGGAATACCACTAGTGGATGGAAGAGATTGTATCGCGTCTAAAAAAGGGACGACGGCTGCCACCCATTCATTCATGTGCTTTGGTTCATTCTTTGACTGCTCTGCTCCCCCAAAGAAAAAGGGGAGACTTGCTCTAAAAATGAAGAAAGACTTGCCGGAAATGGCCTTGGTCCAACCAAGAAAGGCATGGGATGGGCATAAAGAAAAGATTGGCTGCTTCTAAAGCTCTCTTTCTTCTCTTACGATATTTCTAGTTGGATGAACAGATCGCTCCTCAAAGCGGCCAACCAAAGAAGCCCCAAGAAGCATCAAACATTTCCGATGAGATCCATGGAGCAACTCTTAGATAGCAAGCACTAGCTCCCGGTGCGACTTCATAAAAAGCAATCAAAGAGAAGATCGAAGAGAATGAAACGCACGTGGTGGTTAGTGAGATGAATGGAGTTGTTTTGGCTAGAGGCGTAAGAGGACTCGACAGTGAATAAGGCAGGATTTCGTTCACGCGGGAGGCCTTTCTCATCGTGAGTTTTCATTTTTGATTGCTTTCCGTGAGAAAGGGAAGGGGAGTGGTGAGGCGGGCCCCTTCACAGCTAATCGATCTACCACTCAATCACAGGTCGTTCCGTCATTGTCTGATTTTTTGTTGTCTGATCACACTCAGAAAGAAAGACTTTCAGTAAGACTTATTCCAACAACACTCTTATGGATATCGCCGGAAGACTTGCAACAATTCAGCAAGAAATAGGTCAGGTGGAAAACGAGAGTTTTCCAGCCTTGTTTCCGACTTATCCCCGTCGGACGAGATTTAAAACTAGCAATTCAGGATTGAAGGTTTTGACCTTTCCGAGAAAAATCCCTTGTTGTGACTCTCTCTTCCCCAGCCTCGGAGAGATGCAGAACTATTTTTTTTTTTTAATGAATAGATAGAGCCATGATACATTCCGGAATATTGTATAAAGCAACCCCGTCTTTTTTTCGTCTAAATGATAAAGTGGATTTCTTTTTCTGCTGTTTCAAAAAACTCCATTCTATTTTTTCTGATGATGCTTTTGAAAAATGAACTTCATTGATTGATTCAGAACACCTCTTCCTTGATCTTGATAGTATCCATGGGTACTTTCTAAGTTAGAACAAAAACAAAGGGGGAATCGCTCAATTTCCTGGATTATATATACTATATATACTAATATTTCTGTAGATTCGATATCGTACAAATACTTTCTATACTCTTACTTTTTTTTACTATCTCAGAAAAATTGAAATTTTTGATAAATTCATTGAATAAGTTTTATTTTATGTTTGTCCACTATTTTATTGTACGTAATAAATCGAAAAAAAGTTCTGATACATCTGTAAAACCGAAACTAAGACTAGGAATTTTTGGCGAACAGGATCACAAATCATTACTCTTTCGACACAAGAAAAGGAATTTGCTACACCCCTTTCTTGTGTCGAAGACTAGGAAGACACATAATGCACCCTAGAATTTTTTGTTCCCCGCATTTATAATTCTTTTTATTACCCGTTTACTTATGCTAATATCTATCCCAATTTGATTCTGTTTCAAATAGAATCAAATGGATACATTTTATGACATTGAAATCTGGAAATAGTAACATAGTTGTAACAATTCAATTTGGCTAAAAAAACAAAGAAAGGGGTGGTAAAGTCATAAAGTCAAATAAAAAAGTCTTCTTCAAACAAAAAGCTACCTATTCTGACTAGGAATGCGGTACAAGGGATTCCCCGAAGTTCGTAGAAAAAGAGGAATTAAATAAACGGTTTTTCCCGATCGCTAGGAAGAAGCAAGCCTATTTCCCTTCATGTCATTGCTTACTAGCTCCTTTTGTCCCTTCCAACAAAAAAGAATAAGGAATAAGATGGACTCCTAGAGCCAGGGTAGCGATCCATGAGAAATTCAAATAAAAAAAAAATATAAATGCCTGGGGCTTAGAACAATGAGCGTTCACAGTCTATGTTAGATCGATAGAAATATCTTCAGAGAAGCAAGTAGTTAGCTTTTTCTTCTTTCATTAGTAGTTCATATTTCAAAATAGTGGTTGCATCTTTAGATCCTATATTGATTTTATTTAATGGTCGTGTGTCTATCCAAATATTAGTAAGCTTATCATAGACTATCTCTCTTTTCGTACTCCGTGGTAGTCCTAGTCTTACGAGTCATTCTTTTTTTACAATCTGGAATGATTTCCAATTGATTCTGAAGTCAGCTTGAGTGAATATCACCTCAGTTAAAGTTAGATCTTCCAATATTTTTTTAAACCATTCTTCTATGAGTAAATCTTTTGCAGGACCTTTGTTTTTAATAATACGTCCATCTTCGTATTCGAACAGATAAGTCTTAGGTGCTAAGAAGATTCCATTCTTTACAGTGCATTCGAGTTTAAACTTACCTAATTCAAAGGAGGAGATTAGATCATCGGGAAGAGGACTTCCTAGAACAACAGAGTCAGTATCAGTGTAGTAACAGTCAGATCTTGATATGTATGGGTACATGTGCGATCGCTTCTTTTTCATTCGCCTGGGGAAAAAAAGAAGGGAAACTACTTCCTGGGCTTGGCTTGAATGCATTTGTTTTGGCGTAAGAGGACTCGACAGTGAATAAGGCAAGATTTCGTTCACGCGGGAGGCCTTTCTCATCGTGAGTTTTCATTTTTGATTGCTTTCCGTGAGACCGAAGGGGAGGGGGTTTTTCTTCGGGGCTCGACAGATGGAATAGATAGGGCCCCACAAGTTTTGAATTCGCCGCTGGGGAATTCACACGAAAGGGAACGAGGAATTCTCAACGAAAAAAGTGCTCTCTGAACTGAATGTGAAAGTCGTTTTCCATCAGACGGCTGTTCCCGTAACTCGTAAGGATAAAATAGGATTATAAGAAGGTCTCTGAAAAATGCAAATAACAAAATGAGTTTAGCTCTATTAAAATAAATAATGAGGAGGTTCTCGCTAATAGACCCATACAAATGTATATAACATAGTATATAACATATAAATATGTGGGGAACAAGAGTGTGCGATTGCACACCCTAAATGTTTTAATGAATGAAAATAATCATTCCAAATGTATGGTGTGTTCAAATTAATATTTTTTTATAAAAAGGAAAAAGTATCTTTTGTTTTTAGAAAAAAAGGAAAAACTACTCTTAGTGGGGTTCGATTAACATAAAAAATGATGAAAAATAAAATGTGAAGAGATAAATACAGAATGCACTGCATGCATTTTGTGGTTGTTTACTTGACAGATCATTTCAAAGGTATGTATAACAACGTAACTTAAACATTTCAAAGAAAAAGAGAAAATATATATTTTGTTTGTTAATTCATTGCTTATCAAGTAATAACACATTTACCTTTTTTCTTAAATGAGTTTTCTTTCAATTTTAACTCATTTATTTTTACCTCAAAAAATTCTAACAGTCCATTTAAACATTTTCTGCTGTAGAATTATGTTCATAAACTCATGTTTCGCAATTTAATACCCAATCTTCAAGATGTAGCAATTAAAGCACAAGAACTCCATAAATAGCACATAAACAAACAAAAATTGAACATATTAGTATCTTGTAATTAAAAATTCTTAAATTAATTTTTAAGACTCTCGAATGACTAAGTTTCAATATTCAAAAATAATTATTCAATTTTATGAAATTTCGAGTTTTAAATAAATAAAAATTTAAAAAAAATGCTTTTCTTGACCAAATATTGATTTTCTTTCATAGATCCAAATAAATCATGAAACTTTACCAAATAAAATTATTTATTCCTTAGTACTTGCTGGAAATAAAATTTAAAAACTTACACGGAGCTAATCTTTTGAAAAATTAAAGATTTAACCCAAAAGTCTTAAGATTTACGCATGCAAACTAAAAGTTCAAAAATCCATTTTTCTTAGAAACTCTTTGAAAATCCAAATCTTTACTTAATAATTACTAGAAAACAAAGTTAAAAACTTACTTAAAGCTGCATGCATGGAATTTACAATACATTAATGTGAAATTTGTAAGTTTTGTTCTTGACACCCTTTGGGAATTACACCTCTACTTAGAGCTGATCTTTCGAAAAATTGCAGATGTGACCCAAAAGTTATTAGATTTGCACATACAATCCACTGGAAGTTCAAAAATTCATATTTCTAGCAAAAATCTTTATAAGTCCGAAATCTTCAAGCTTTTAACCAAATAAAACTTTTATATACATATTATAAACACATATAAGATATGCAAGAAGAATAAATTAAAGATCAACATAACTTTTTTCATTTTTCCCCCAAAAGCCCTAAAGTTTTGAAAATCATTCAAGTCTTTTATATAAGGGGAAAGTACAGTTTGCACCCCTGAACTATGGGGCTTGTCACAAACACCCCCTTAAACTACGAAATGTAACAAAATGACCCCTCCGTTTACAATATGTTAGTTGATGATGAGGTGGCATGTTGACTTTCTCAATTATAACTGATTTTTTTATTGTTTGTCGTTTTTACCCCTCAATATGTTGTGCATATATATATATATATATATATTACTAATTGGTTAATAATATTTTAATTTTAAAACTATCATAATATCAAAAAAAAGTATTATTCAATATCATTAAAAAAAAAAAAAAAAAAAAAAAGAAGGAAACACCTGCAAATGCCAAGAACAGGGTCTCCAAACTCTGTTCTCACGAGAACCATCATAAAACCCTCCTCAATCCAGTAAATGCTTACATAAATTAAAGAATAAGAACAGCACATCAATTCTTCAATCCGACAATTTGCATATGCAATTTTCCCGATGAAAGGTTCCATTAAAAAGTCCCCAAATTTCAGTTTCTTGCAAGGATTCTCAAGCATTCCCTCAATCCCAATTAGGTAGTAATCTCAGAATATTTCAACAAAAAAACACAAGTTATAGTAAAGATATATCAAACAACCCAGCAAAAAAATTAATGAGATCCCGTTGCCACGAAAAAATCGAACATTTTATGGCGTCATTTGGTTATATCCCTAACAATTTGTTTTTCTCTCTCTCTCTCTCTCTCTCTCTCTCTCTCTCTCTCTCTCTCTCTCTCTCTCTCTCTCTCTCTCTCCGCTTAGCCCAGACGCGAACCATGCTCCGATTCGCGCAGGCTTCTATTGCTTTCCGATTCGACTGATTTAGTTGGAAATTTGGGATTTTGAATTGAGGGAGACAACGCAACGGGGGACTTTGAGGTTGTAGAAACAGAGGCGAAAGTGGTGAGATTAAAGAAGAGCTTGACGTTGGGACCATCAAAGAAGAGATTCACATAGAAGTGGGTGCGGTGTGGCCGGGAGAGAGGCTGCCGGTAAGACTTGTGGTGGCAGTGGGTTTCTTCTGCTCAATATTTGATTTGGAAGAAGGTGTGCTTACTAGGGTTGTACTCAAAGGTACAACCCGATAATGCAAACATATTTGAAGGACAAAACGGTAAATGCACACATATACTAACGGTGTTAAGTTTTTGACAGTTGACTGAAAATAGCAGGGGCCATTTCGTTAC